CTCAGTCTGAAAACTAAGCTCTCAATATTCAAGTCGATCTTTATCCCCATACTTACCAACAGTCATGAATCGTAGACCATCAGTGATAAACTTCGAACCCGGGTACGAGCTGCTGAAATGGGCTTTGTTAGGCGAGTCGCTGGCCTTACGCGTCTCGACATGGTCCGGAATAGTGACATCCAGAAGAGCCTTTGATTACAGCCTTAGCTTCTTCAGATTGAGAAGTCACAGCTGCGATGGCTTAGGCATGTGGTGCGAATGCCTCCAGAAAGGAAGGCTAAGCAACTATTCCTTGTAAATCCGACCGGTAGAAGACCGCGTGGACCGGTATGGATTAACCTGGTGCAAACTTATGGAAGGAGTCTGTTCCAGATTGCATTTGTCTTTTGCCGAAGCTCAGACTCTGGCGCAGGATAGGGAACGTTGGAAGCACTGTCTGACGCGTCTGCCTCCTGAGCTTGGATGTAAGAAGATGTCGCAGCTCTGCTTCTTGTAGAAAAAGCGTCGGAAAATTTTTGAGACAATTTTTCTTTATAGGAAATCATTGTTACTTTTTTTTCCCTATGTAGTTTTTAGTCTTTTCTTTCTTTCATCTCATTTCACCTTTGCTCCTTTTATTTGTCGCCGTCACTGTTTTGAGTTTAAACTTGCTGATCCATAATGCTGCGACACTGACTGTACACTAAATATTTTGCTATAGAGGGTAGACCGCTCTGGGTTCCGAAGACTTGGCGCACATTGTCTTGTTCAAAAGTTGTAACCATCTTCCATCGTAAGCTATTAAATAAAGAGACTGTATAAGATTTTTTAAGTGCAATTGCAAATTTGCTAAAACACCTTATCTCTAGAAGATCTAAGGGTCGTTTGATTTGAAATCCTGGTGCGAACTTGTAATCCGAAATAGTGAGTATATATACATATGTCCACTTAAGCGGATTTGGCGGTACGTTGTCTTGCCAAGACTTCCGGGCAAAGGAATTTTGAAGTGACCTAATATGCTGTTTGTATCAGCATCCGTGTAAACTTGTAGACTAAGATCTGCAGTTTCTGTTCTTAACATATTGGATTTTTATGTTA